TAATAATAACAATACATCACACGACCGCCGAATTAACTCACCGAATGTACGCCCTAACCGGCATTCGGTATTTCTCATCCGGCGAGCTAAAAGTAGTGTCTACAGTGAGCAATATAACTGGAGGGGGATCCTTTTTAGCGGATGATTCGATAATAAGACGATTGTAGTAATCGTGATACGGCAAGCAATGCGCTGATAGGTCCGCGTTAGTGTAGAACCTGAAATTAGAACGGTCATAATATTAAATATTAACAATATTTGATAACAATCATATAAAAAATAAATGCACTGACCAACCCACAGGTTGTTCAGAGGGTGTTGCACGCTTCATAATTTGCAGCATCGATTGGTTGAAGCCATCATCGAGCTCAGGAGTGTCCTCCTTTTGCTCGCTGAATGGTATCGCATAGCAATTCGTCACCTTAGTTGCGATAATAATTATGTACATTCAATAATTAATATGATATTATATCTCAAAAATATAAGTATAAAGTATAGTATTATAAGTATAATGAACACCTGAATTGCGTTCTTTTCATAAAAGCCCAGCAGTGTACCCAAGGCTTTATCATTTGCACCTGGTTTATTGGAACGTCTTTCGAACGCATCCACTATGGTTAAGTAAACCACTGGATGTACTTTTACGGTTAGAGTGGAGGCCATTTTTCGGCTATTTTATTACTTTGCTGAGGATTTTGGGTATTACTTTGAGAACTCCTGAATATATTTGATGTATTTGTGAATTATTTTCATCTTTCAAGTATTTTTCACGGTACTTTCACATAGCAAAGAACTCGAGAGGGGCAAATCTCCGCGAAAATATCGCATCTTTTTCAACCGAAACAGCAAATCTGCCCGGTGACAGTGCTGGCAACTGAGCCAACAACTCTTCGATTACTCACCGAAATATTTCGTAACAATCATAAAACATCGCAGACACATTCACAAATGTCTTTATACGTAAAATAAAAATGAAGAAATGAAAAATTTAGACCAAGCGATGGTGGCAAACGTTTCGCCACAAATTAGGACGGACGTTTCGCCACAAATTCTCTAACTGTCTAACTCCGACATGTNATCATTTTATTATTTCCAATAATTTTATTACAATAATTACATAAAAACAATAAAATTAACTCATTTTATTAAATACTTTAATGCAAATTACAACAAGTGCCACATTATCAATGTATTTATTACGTATTTATTAATATTATTATTATTACATCGAAAATTTAAGTGAATAAATGCCCATTTCAACTGTACAATAGTAATTATAATGACAATAATAATATAAATACTTTTATTTTTAAGATTTATTACGCAATTACACAACAATTAAGTATGTATTTTATTCTTTTTACTGCTAATCTCTTCAGCGATGTGTTGCGTGAAGTCGGCTGGTTTATCGGTGGCCACAATACAAAACACCACATTTCCAACGATCAGCACCACTGCGTGTATTATAAATACCTGCAATTTTATTTATTATTGAAATAAGAAAAGTAATAAATAACAACAGTAAAACCAACCATCCGCCATTCCACTAGTGTATTATTTCGAATAAAAATAGCCACCAGGCCTGGCTCAATAAATAACGATAAACACTTAATGAACTGGATTTGTGACAGTACAAAATGTGAATATTGCCTGAAATATATGAAACTATATAATAAACAATAAAAGCAACAACAATACATCATAAAACTAATCGATTGACCTGGCCACCAACGTCGCACACTTATAAAACCCCGCACACACAAAACCCGTCGTCAACTCGATGCCCATCAACAGCGCCAAAGCGCAGTAGGCAACGTTCCGCGAGAGAAAACCCAAAAATAAAAACAAAATTCCTGAGACCATCAACGCGATTGAGTTCGCTATAATCATCTTGACACGTTCCGTTATGAATCTGCAAAGTAGACACGTTATTTATTATCATTATTATTATATTTAATAATAATAAATAACTCACTTAATCTTATCACTAGCTATACCAGAGGCTATTTTAAAGAAGAAATGCAGCGCGCGCGGCAACGCAACAAAATACCCGGTGTGAGCCACACTAAAGCCGAGCACCTGCAATTAGCATTGTTATTGTTAATTAACATTTTAATTATTATACTGCACGTTAAGCGAATGCTAAGAATAATAGACCTCTTTCAAGTAAGTTGGCCCATACAACACAATGAACTGCGATGTCATCAGTTCACCCATGGCCGACAGCCACACACTCCACACTATCGGATGCCTTATGATCTTCTGCAAAGCTTTCATATCTCTTCTTTCGTTAATTTTTATTAATCATACCAATATTTACAATAACAATAATGGCACATTTTCACTTTGGGGGGAGCAGGGTGGGGGGGGGGGGTTACTACGCCTAGGCTAATGCCATGCACAGTAGGCGTGGCCTCGGTCCACGTGAAAGCGCCGTTCATAGTGTGCGAGCGTGTGTGTGTCGTTCTACGTGAGCGTGCTCGCGTGCGACCGCCCCCCC